GTGTGTGGGGGGAAGGACACCAGCAGGGCTACTCCTGTGATTGGAGTGGCACATATGATGATAGCAATGTGTGTTGTGTTGTGAGCAGTAAGGGGACTCACCGGCTCTGGGGAATGGGTCCAAAGGGCCCAGTACCCTGTGTTAGTGATATCCTCCTATCTCTAAATATGAGTATTTTAATAAGTTACCATGTTTGTGGATCAATCAAGTGTTCATCTCCACAGGGTTACCATATATTTGTATATATGATATAGTAGGAGAAAATTATCACTGTCACACATGACTGTTTATAATGCGTATTTCTGCTCATTTCTCAGTTATTTTAAAAGAGACATACTTAACATTTAAATATGATAGGAACCTCCAAATAAATATAACCTCCAAATCAAGAAATCAATAACTTGTACTGAGGTGGGCATCTTGGGTGCCACTAACAATGTTGTCTGACATCTTGAAATGGTTAGAAATTTATCCTGTTTATGATTTATATGGTTATTCTCAATAGATCACACAGATGTGTGATGTGAAGATTATTTTGCCTCATTACACTGCTCATTTGGGAAAATATTCTTTCATACTGTGCTGTAAAAACACCATATCATGCTTGCTTGAGTATGGGAAATGTTGCATTTAGTTTAAAGGGAGCAACATAGATATTTTTCAGGAAATGTGAGAACTAACAGCCTTTTAGTAATTGTCTTTTGAGGATCAGTGCCAAAGGCTCCCAATTAATAGTAAGGCAGCTTCCTTTCTGAAGAGGAAACTGAAACTTCCCACTCATACCTTTTTTTTTCCTGGTGAGCCACATTTAGATAGGTGTGAGTTTGTTAGGTGAAATGGAGAATTATGGGATTTGTAGTTTAAAAAAATCTTATGTCTACCATCAGCTAAAAGTGCTTTGGCGTTGTGAATTGGGCTCCATCTGCTGGCTGACTACTGGTAGATGACAGTGTGCTGGGGAAGGAGTTTAACTAGCCCTAGTCCTCCCCCCCATCCTAATTTGGCTGTATTGCCCCTAGTTTTGTTCTTGACATTATATAACAAGGTGTGACTTCTCAAGTATAAGTAAACATTTTCAGCATTTCAGGGGTACATGTTCTAATGGTCTAACAACCTGCCTCATCTTGTCAATAAAATAAAAGGGAATTTACTGATTGTTCTAACCATGCATAGTTTTGAAGCACTGTCTCTCATGTATTTTACTGTACTTACCTATGATGTATGCTGGTTGACTGAAAAACTTATATTAAGAATTGCCAATCAAAGGCATTACAAGGGTTTCTTGTGCCATTCCGTTGAAGAGCATCCACTGAGCTTGAGAATTGTGAAGGAAAATCAAGTCTCTTTTGACATTTCAAGATAAATTAGGTTCAGAAATTGTGCACTCTTCAATGTGGCTTGATAATTCATGTATTGATTCTGTTTACGTATACATATCTGCTCGTATATTTACATTCACATAACAACGTACTTTATAGGAATGTGTTCAGCTGATTGAATAGCATGTGGGTATTTCAGCAAAGTTTGTGCTAACAAAATGGAGCATTGCTTTGCTAGACTGATGCCGTGTAGCTGTAGTCCTGCCAAATTGTACTCTTAGACTGTGTTGCTGGACAACATTGTGGACAGAAGGTTTTGTCTGTTGTTTCTCCTATTTTTATTATATTGTTTTGTCATATTAAGTGCTACACAATGTGAGCATTTCCAGCAGCTCAGAAATCTTAACCTCTTCTTGAAAATGAGATTTATGGCATCTGGTAAACTTCTTCCCTGAAGAGAAGTTTCTTGTCTTACATTTTAAAGGGATAGGTCTGCTTTTCACTAGCAGAGGTTTTCAACCTTGGGTCCAAAGCTGTTCGCAGACTAAAACTCCCAGAAGTCTTCATCACTGGCTGTGGTGGCCAGGATTTCTGGGAGTTGTCATTCAAAAACATCTGGGGTTGGGAACCACTGCACTTGATCAATCCATACTGGAATATGCATGCAACATTAGAATGCAAACACACAGTTAATTTGGAGGAAGTCTGTGTGGCTGTGCATGTTTTCTTTATGGCTGGCTTACCTTTCTGGGGTGAAAGCTGTGTTCATTATAAGCCATATGGCCAGAAATATGCCAGTGACATCTTAAAAAGATAAAAGCCAAACTTTGAAATTCTGACTGGCTTTTAAATCAAGAAACTCTAGAGTACTGTGATGTACCTAGGTTCTTGGTATGTAATGAATGGTTTCCTTTTATGTGCATTTTTTGTTTTGTGGGAAAAAGAATGCATCTTGAATCCCTGCATTGAAAAAATGACATCACACATACAGTAATTCACTGCAGCAGGGGCTATTATTTGATCATACCTTTTAGAAAGAATATATTATTTCAGGCTGAAAATTTCAGAGATTAGTTTTGAGCATAGTAAATTATCAATGCAGTGGTGCCTCGCCAGACAGTTACCCCGCATGACAGTTATTTCACTAGACATTGACTTTTTGCGATTGCTATAGCGATTTGCAAAACAGTGATTCCTATGGGGGAATTTCACTGGACAATGTCTGGTCCCTGCTTTACAAACCGATTTTCGCTAGACAACGATTTTGACAGCTTCCTCTGCGCTTGCAAAATGGGTGTTTTCGGGACCTTATCTTCGCAAGACAGCGATTTAAACAGCTGATCGGCGGTTCACAAAGCGGCTTTCCTATGGCCAATCTTCGCTAGACAACGACAATTCTTCCCCATTGGAACGCATTAAACAGGATTCAATGCATTCCAGTAGGGAAATGCTTTTCACTAGACAATGAATTCGCTAAACAGCTATTTCAGTGGAATGGATTATCATCGTCTAGCGAGGCACCACTGTACATTCGAATATTCTTCATAAAATAAAAATTGATCTCTGATCGGAAATAAAAGCACTGGTGTGCATGCTTCATTAGTTGCATTGGAATCAGAACATAGGAAACACTGTATAAGATTTCAGTCCAATAACAGCTTAATGTATGAATATGATGTCATGTTGTTGGGATCTCTGGATAATTTGAGATTGTGGTGTTTAATGTTTTTGTTACTTTGGAATTCTGCTGTACTTGATCCTTGACTATTAGCTATTGTTAGGCAAAGAGTTTCTAAGTTCAGTTTAGCTGTTGGAAGTTTCATGAGAGTGTTTTGCTTAGGAGTTTGAAAAGCATACTTTGAGCATTAGTGCATATTTTAGATAGTGGGATCTAAGTCTTTGTAGTTTTGCCACATTTTCTGCAATAGTCCAAAGATGTCAGCTGAAGTATGTGGTCACAAATATAAGGCTACAGTTCTTAAACATCCTTTATTTCTGTAACTGTTTTCATTTGCTTAATGATGCTGACTTGCATAGTAGTTCTCTTCCATTAAAGTTCCCGTTATGTTTTTCCTGGACTGTGAGAATGCTTGTTTTTTTATAATCAGTTAGTTCTTCTATTGGAGATTCCAGATTTAGCTTAGTACTCCTCTGCAACATTAGAACCCTATCATTTCCCCTTCCTCTCCACCTTTTTTGGCTGCTTTCTAATTGCTAACACATGCCAAGTTTGTATTGTTGCAGATCTTGCGGCCAAGATATGAGATACAATTTACAGGAAAGATTTGCAGCTTTTAGAAGGCTTCAGACATTTAATGTGCTAACTTACTGAGCAACCTCTCCCAGTATACAAAAACTGAAAGCAAACAGAAGGTCTGTTTTCAGCATTATGGACTTCTAGTGATTGTTTCAAACCATTTCAGATGGAAACCATGATGAAATCATAATAGTCTTAAAACTGCAGAGGGGAAAGGGATCCCATGGGCCATCAGGTTCAACCCTTTTCAAGGAGGCACAATGGGAAATTGAACTCCATGATCACGTGGAGTAAAAAAAACAGTGGTCATGTGTCTTGTGGCACCTTTAACATATTTTTATATATTGACCAAAGTCGTCTTGGTGTATATGTGCTAGCATAACATTAATGACATAACTTTTTTAGACTATGCAGCATACATAGATATTATCTACAGTGATTTGTAACTTGAAGCAGTTTGCTTCCAAAAATTACTCCATAAGCATTATGCTGGTGTAGATATACAAAAAGCTTTTGGTTGTTGTGGTAGAAACCTTTATGGCTCAGATCCCACATTGTCAGACACATGACACAGTTGATGAGGGGGTGTATTTATATGGCCAAACTACAGTTATTATGAATACAGTATGACCCCCATACCTGGGTGTGATTGGTTCCACAATCTACTATGGATACCTGAACCCTGATAAGTTACTGCCACTAAGCATTGATGATTCTGATCTTAATGGACTGATGATTTGATTCAGGATAAGGCGACTTCCTTTGCTTCTATGTCCCTTTTTGTTATCTCTATCCAGGAATCAGTTGCACACTTGTACTGATTGCATTCTGTATTCATTGAACTGATTCTTTGTATTCATTAATGTGATAAACCACTATTTCTTGCATCATTTGGGCTGAATTTGGCTTAAAGCCAAGTCACAGCCTTGTATTCAGTTTCTCTGTACCACTTACCCATTTAGATGACTACTGGATGCATTTGATAGTTCTACTGAGAAAACCTGTGACACAGGCTGAACATAGATTTTGTTTGTCTTTTAAGGCACCATGCTGTTTTTTTTTCTGACAAGAGTATTTTATAGAAAGCATTCTCTATTAGCAAGAGCTTAAAGAAGGAGGGAGGGAGGGGGCGTGACCACAGGGCTTTGGAAGAGCTCAGGCCCGTGGGACCTCCCTTGTTGTCCCAGTGTCTGAAACTCTTGGGATCTTTAATAGTTTTAGCACAGTATCATTTTTCTTACTGTTGGCCATAAACAAATTACGTGTCTTTAACATGTTAATGTCAGGCTAGCTGCAAGCCACCAGTAGGTGTGTACTCAGTGACATCAGCTGGCAATGAGCCCTGGTAACAGAGCAAGCAAGTGAAGGAGAGCTAGATAGAAAGGCTATGTGCGCGCGCTGTGAGCACAGCATATTCTGGATATTCTGGCAAGGTAAAGAGCTGGTCTGTTTGGCATGACCTTCCCATCTGGGATCCATCTGTCTTTCTCTGGAATCGGACAGGCGGCTCTAAGCAGTGAGAAATCACAGATGTGAGAGAGCCGACACATGTCCAGCTAATGAAAAGAGAAGGAACGTTGGTTGCAGACTCCACTTGAAGATTAAGAGCTGCAACAAGAATACTGTTTTTCTTTGTATTTTTAAAGACAGCAGTGTTTTCGACAGCAGCCTGGTTACTTGGACCTTTGGGTGCACAGGGTAAGCCAGCTCTTCTGAATAATATCTGTTGAAGCAAGGTGATTGATGTCATGTTTACCGTGGAGTGAGGGGGAGCTAAACTGCATCAGAGGCAAGGTTTTCTTGAGATACCTCTCTGTATTCATCTGTGTGCTAGTGTGTGTGTGCAGGGAAGAGAAAATGTTAACAGATGCAGTACTTCTCCCTTCCCTCTCTCCAACCATCCTCAGTTTGACTGCAGTGCCTCTGCTGTGTGAAAACTTCATTAGAAAATATTATCTACTGTGTGGATTTTTTCAGCTGAGTTAAAATAGAAAGCAACACAAAAGTTATGTCCTTTCTGTTGCTACAAGAAGTCTTATTTATTATTTCAAATCCTTAGGAGTGACATTTGCTATCAATATTTCATTGTCCAGTGGTGCCATGTACTTTCCACTTTGAGAAATTCTCATTTTCAACTCTGTTTAATGATGGCTGACATATTGAAATGAGGTAAAAATTAAGGAATGAAGTATAGTACTAGCCTTCTTTCATTTTATTTCAGATATTAATATCAACATTTCCTCTATTCAGATTGTGTTGTTTGTGTTATGATAGGGATTGTTGCTGTGGTATTTAACTACATTCATGTTAGATATTGAAAGGAGATGATAAAGTTGTCATTGTTTGACTCTTTTGGTGTAGTTTATGGTGCAGAAATTTTGAACATGCATCCACTTCTTATGTTCCCTAAATAATTTGTTTATTTGTTTTAACATGCATGTCCAGAAACATGGCCCACTGTAGTGTCATTTGTTGTTGTTGTTTTCCCCGTGGAAATGCTATATCTGATAACTTTAAGATTTGGAAAATTTTAATTAGGGCAAAAGATGTAGGCCAAGGTATGTCTGTTCCCTGTTGTGTGCTAACTGATGTTTGGCTCATCTAAACTAAAGGGGTTCCCCTTAGTAAAGAGACAGGTTGCAATTCTGGTGTTTTCCAGAGTTCATTCAGTGTGAAATTTTAATGTGTGACAACAATTTCTGTTCATACTTAAATTGCTTATTTTAATCAGTAATGCATATGAAAATGTGCAAATAGAAAATACTGCTCTGAAAACATAGCCAATGATATTTTATGCTATAATGTGTAATATTCCATGTATTCTATTCCTGGGAAGTTTGAATATTTCTTTTTATTAACTCTGTGTCTCCCACTTTAATGGCACATCAGGCAATACTTAAAACAAAGGTGAAAAGTGCATGGTTGACTCCCAGGGCCATTTTGAGAGCCCCCCAGAAGTTAAGCCCCAAATGTCCCCCAATTAAATAAACAAAAATTTTAAAAAATTTATATGAGAAATATTTTTTCTTAAAATGACTGTGTATCCTCCAAAGACTGAACTTTTATTTTAGAAATGTTTTGTGAGCAGTTGATAATGAACTTTTTCAGTTTTTAAAAAACCTTTAACCCTTTGAAAATATTAATCTATTCCTCAATTAAGAAAAACCTATTTAACAATTTTTACAAGGCATAATTACTGTGTTTCAGATAACCCTGTTTTGCGCCACCTGGGGATTGAAGTCCTGAATGTGCCAGCAGATATTTAAAATGACCCTCAACCCCATTGAGATGACCCACCCCAGCTTCAAATAATTCTTAATTCAAATAAATATGTCTATGTACTTGTCGCCTCATAGAAAAGTTCCTTGTTCATATATTAAACCCAATGTGATTTCTCAAAGAATCAAGTTGATAGTTTTTCTAATATAGGGGCTGCTTTCTCACTCCCAGTCATAGGGGGTGATAATGAAACGTAGTACCACAGACTTCTCTAAAATGATAGTGATTTTGAATGGGTGACCTTAGATGGTAGTCTTAGATAAAGTTGCACTTCTCATACAGAACCAACTGTACTTTTTGCAGTTTTTTATTGACTCTAGATTGGAAAATGTTAGTAGTGTCAATAACCAGGAATGTTTTCCCCAGACTCTGTCAGAGATGTCATCTGTAGCCCTATCTGGAGAGAAGGTAGATCTTCTAATTTTCCATGCACTAGTGAGATTTAAGCTGGACTACTATAATGTATTTTAACTGTGGCTCTCTGATGATACTTCGGACACTTCAGCTGATGTAAGGGGTGGGGCACTGTCAGTTGTGCTTGAAAAATCTGAAATCTGCATGTGCTAAAGGGAACATATTAGCTCCACCCCTGTGTTGCCATCTCTTTAATCATGGAATTGCACTGGTAGCCTCTTCATATCAGCCAGAACCCCACTTTTTTGGGAGTGGGGAGTGGACTTAGCTCACATGGGGAGGCCAGCCAGGTAGAATGCTTTTGAGAGAATGGTTTTCAGATGACAGAAGAGATTTGGCAGTCATGTTCCTCTCAATGCACATGGAGTGCATAGGCATTAAAGCATTATTGGATAGGGCTTATGGGACACCCATCCTGCATGAGTTGTGCTAGTTGCCAGTGGCCCACATCCTATTTGTTACACTACTGGAGTGGGATGGGAAATGCCTACACCAGCTTCCTCACTTGTGACATTTCACTACTGAAACTTATACTGTAGAGATGATATTATACTGGAGAGTACAATGAACAGGATTTTGGCCAATCTGTTTATAAGCTCAGTGTAAAACATTTAACCCATAAAGGTTTATATGGTTTGGGGCCAAGTTACTTGAAGAACCACATTCATCGATACCTGCTTACCCACACTTTGAGACCAGTTGTCAAAGGCCCACAAGCCTCTCAGTCACAGCAGTAAGCACCAGGGAGTTGACATTTTCAGCTGTAAAACCCTGGTTGTGACTATATTTACTAGTATGTACTAGTATAGGTTATTGGAAAATAACGTGAGCTGCATGTATTTTCTATTCACTTTCCTTTATGAGGCATCTGAACCAAGATGGTTTAGCAATTGCAGTTTAAATATTCATTGGACCTTTAATGGTTATGTTAATTGACTGAAATAAATTTAAGTCATTCATATTATTGTGGTTTTTCTATATATCAGTTTATGGGACCTCCACAAGAAGAGTTTTCTCTTAAAGGCCGCATATATCTTAAATAAAAATAATAGTAAGAATAAAATAAAATTGTGCATTATTAAAAGGGGATAATAACAGAAGAATGCAATCATAAAACTATATTTAGGATATTTGAGTATTTTGGTGATTCAGGACACCAGTCAATCAGAAAGAGGTTTGCCAACAGGTTTGAGAAGAATGGGCTAGATTTTAGGGAGAAAAGATCTGTGTTTTGAAAAATGTAGTAACAAAAGAGATACAATTCAAAGTAAGCCAAAATCTGTTCTGGAGTGAAGAATGCTATTGACCAAATATGGGAATTGCTGCTTCAGACATAGCAGATAACTAGAAGTGTTCCTTTTTATAGCTATGAAACCTTCTCAGTTTGAAGGGGTAGCTGTCATGCTTCTTTCCTCACTGATAGTTCTTTCTGAGTCTTATTTGCTGACTCCAGTGTAAACATCATTGCACTGTAAGTTATTAGCTCCGTATAGGTAATATCAAATCGAGAAAAGCTGTATTTTGTTTGTCTTCATTATGTTACTAGCCAAATTATTCTATAAACCTCAAAGGTGTGAATATACTTTGAATGCAAGTTGTTTTGTGTGTCTGTCTGTAAAACGTATAGCTAATTGAAAAAAAATGAGAGGATAAACATGGAGAAAAGTTGAATTCAAAATGTTTCTGTTATCAGAGCTGTCAAAATGAGATTCTTAGAAGTCACACAGGACAGGAGTTGGAGAACTTCCAGTCCTCTGCTGACCTAGTGCTTTTGATACTGGCATTTAGTTTGAAATATTTTTGATGTGCTAAGACAGTCCCAGGAGGCATTTCTTGTAGGAATATCTCTGTGTGAGATAGTACAAAACTAGTTGTGTTTGTCACTCATCGGCAGTACCAGTGCTTGGCACTTTTGTATTTAAAATCCCTTTAAGTAGAGTATGTCCCATTCCCTAAATAATACAGAAATGAAACTGAATGGAGGAAAACAGTAGCTTCTGTCAAATGTTTTTGTTGAAGTGTTTCACTTAGCCTTGTTTTGTGCCAAATTTAGATTTGCCTATGTATAAGGAAGGAAGCAGTTCGAAAGCATGTAAATGCAAGTAGATAAATAGGTACCACCTTGGTGGGAAGGTAACGGCGTTCTGTGTCTAGTCACGCTGGCCACGTGACCACAGAAACTGTCTTTGGACAAATGCTGGCTCTGGCTTGGAAACGGGATGAGCACCGCACCCTAGAGTCGGACACGACTGGGCTAAATGTCAAGGGGAAGCTTTGCCTTTACCTAAGGAAGGTTTCCTAGGTGCCATTTTAATGTTTTATTCTTTAACATTTTCATTCTTTTACTAGTAGAAAGTGGGTTGGTTGAAATCTATGCCTAACACACTTTTGGGATAATTTTAAAGAATGATGTTTTCCTAATTTTATTGGTTTATGATGACCAATGCAAAAGTTGAATCAAAGGCATCAGTTAAAAAAAGGATCTGCCCTACTTTTAAGAATTAGCTGTTTGCTGTCAGGCTAAGTCTGTTAATTGTTTTAATTGTGTGAATTAATATAAATTTGTTTCATGTTTTCTTAGATGGGGCCATGGGTACACACGGACATCCAAGCAGAGGGGGAAAGATACATGGTTACAGCAAAGAGCTTCAAGGAGAATGAGTTCAGGCAGCCACTTTTGTGAATTTCTATTCTGTTCACACTTGCCATATACTAGTATTCCTCTTGCTGAGGAATCAGTTCTGTGTTCCTCTTGTGTGAGAGGAGTCCAGTAAATCTTCAGTGAGGCAATCATTGGCTTCTGTAATTGCAAGCCTGGAGATTGCTGGGGCAGATGCCAAGTGCTCTGCCCACGCTCCACATTTGCCAACAGAACTCTGTCCCTCCATAATGTTGGTGTGTCATTCATATAACATATATGAATCTTAAGGTACTCTCTTTTTGAATGAAAAATCTTTTACAACCCAATGATGATTCCACAGTTTTATCAAAATGGTGTTGCCACA